AGGAGCCAGGGACATTCCACGATCCAGCAGGGAAGGCCTGAGGGAAGCCTCGGCCCTCCCACACCTCCCTGAAGCTTTCCTGGGGGTGGCTGGGGGGTGGGAGGAGGTACAGACTTAGAGCTCGGCTGATCCCTGACATCCAGGGAGGAGCAGTGGGAAGAGACATGGGCCGGGAGAAGTCGCCGTCATCCCTCAGTCTCCACGCTCTATCCCCCCACAGATCCTCCCTCTGTGGCAGTCACCAGACACACCACCACAGGAGAAAACACTACCCTCACATGCCAGGCCTATGACTTCTACCCACGAGGAATTGGTCTGCACTGGACTCGGGACGGTGAGGTGCAGGAGTCTGAGTCAGGGGGTGACGTCCTTCCCAGCGGAGGGGGCACTTACCTGTCTTCCGTGGTGTTAGAGGTGTCCTCTCAGGACAGAGACCTTTATTCCTGCCAGGTGGAGCACAGTGCTCTGGCCCAGCCCCTCTCGGTGCCCTGGGACAGCAAGCAGGAAACAGGGGCTAGGAGTAGTGGGGAGACTCAGTCCCAGTAGCTGCCCTTTCTGCCTGTCGTGAGAGAGCTGAACTTCACAAGTCACCCTCAGTGGCATCGGCCAGGCCCGGGAGCAGTGCATGGGACAGAAAGGCGGGGGATTCGCAGAGAGGAGGAGGAACACCGGGCACTGAGCTGACTCTCACGGCCACATCGCCTCACCTTGCTAATCACGGCCCCCGTGTCCAATCTGTAGAACCTAATAAACAATAAACTTGCTCAGCAAAACACACACAGGTGTTTTTCATTTTGGAATTCCTTCAGAGTGAGAGCCAGCTTTACCATTCCTCCTACTCCTAAGCATTCAATTCCTCCCAAATTCTTGGTCTTTACTGAAAGCTATGTTTCTTGGGCACATTTACCTGGGCCATCCTAAGTATGGCTTAGAGCACCTGGTCCCTTGGGTATTGTCCAGGCTCCCATTGCTAACATCCACAGATGTAGCCATGGCCCGTCTGCCAGTGATGACCCAGAACTTTGCAACTACTGCAAAACAAAATCAAAACTCTTCTGTGCCTCAGTTTCCTGAGCACTCCCTCACTCCCTTTAAAACATCATCCTACACTCAAGATGCTCAACATTGTCCGGGGTGGCGTTTTTGCCCATTCCTTTTGACTGTCTCCAAGGCCCCTGCTGCTTGTTCTTGCACACTCAAGCCCTCATCTGATACTGCCATGAATTGCTCACTGTGGCTATGGGTTCCCTCTGGCCCAAATTGAGTTTGCTGTTGGGAGAGACCATTCCAAACCTTGAGTTATAATTTACTGGGTGTGGGATTGAAGAGTTAGTTCAGGGAGGACCCTCTGCAGCCCCTCCCATGGTGCCAAGATGGTGGCAGCAGCAGGTGTTCCTTTCCCCTTGCTGCAAACCACTTGGTTGGGGTCACATGCACCGGTCGTCCCTCCTGCCAGGTCCACACCAGATTGTGGCCTCGCCCAACACCTCAGCCTGGCCAGCTGTGGAGGTTCTTGCAGGGGCAAGAGGACGTCATTTATCAAAAATCACACAAACACAAATCATTTTCTATACCATAAACAATGAGTTTATCTCAAGCAGAGAGCTTGAGACTCAACATTTTAACTCTATAGTGGCAGATCATCCATTTGAGCTCTGAATTTTGAAAAAGCCAATAGCTCAGAATAAACCACCCACCATCAACCACCACTTTTCCTCACACTCCAGACAAGTGGTGTCACAATAATCTTTAGATATAGGTACAAAAACTTGACAGACAAAAACTCACAAACAAACACACACAATATGGGGAATACCCAACACAAAATGCCACAGCCAACCAAATGGAAACCACAAAATGAGAACTGAATTCTCTACTGAGAATCAGCATCTCCTTATCCAAAAGGGGACAAACCAAGAACCAAACACTCTCAGATGAAAGAACCAATGTCACCCAATCCACTCCCCAGCCCTGTTCCCTGGGAACTGCAAATGTGCTCAATCCAAACCTGGTTTCCTAGTTCCACTCAACCTCTTGAATCCCACTTCAAAGTGGCCCCCCAAAACAAACTCAACTGGGGATCTCAAAAACCCCCAACACATGGGTGGAAACACAGTCTCAGCATCCCAAGTTACTTTATTTACAAATAAATGGCTGTGGCTGTCATGATGCTTCCCAAATCTGTTTCCTTCTCCTCAGCTAAGTTCAGGTTGTGGGGAGCTGCATCTACTGGGAGAAGAAAGAGACAGGAACTCCCTAAAGCTAAAACAGGCACTCGCAGCTGCTGGTGCTGTCCCTCACCTCAAAAAGAAGTCACTCCTACCCGGGAAGACCCACAGCTTTGACCCGAGGCTATTCCCTGCCTCTTCCAGCAGTTGTGTGGTGCCATTCCAATAGGGTGCTGACAGGCCCACCAAATGACACCAAATTCTGTTACCAAAAATTCCACACTTATCCCTGAGGCCACATCAGAAGAATGAAGACAAGAGGTTGGAGGAGAAGGAATGAAATTTTATTAATTTGCCAGCAAATTAGGAGATTAGAAGACTCCAATCTCAAAGGACTAACATACTCTAAGTTTCTTTTTTCTTTTTCTTTCTTTTTTTTTTAGATGAGAAAAAAAAACCAAGGAAGGGGAGAAGAACTTGTCCCTGGTGACAGAACATGCTGCTCAGTGATAGAAAAACCACTTTCCCATTTCCCCTTCCCAACATTTTGGTGGCTGAATTACACCTGTTAGCTGATTCTCTCAGGAACTCCAACTGTAAGCAGTTTAGGAGCTGATGTGGACACAGCTGCAGAGTGACCAGACAGTTGATCTCAGAGCAGCTGGGAGGAATCCCAGAATCCTCCCTCAGTCCTCCTGCTCACATCCCTGACCTCTGAAACACGAATACTAGAACCCCATTTGCATTTCTCAACAAAACATGAGGCAATCCTCCTGCAAATGTCCTAGAAATGATAAATGATTATTTCAAACCAAGATTTTAAAACGTAAATGGACACTGGTGTTAAGACAACATTTCAGAACACTTGAGAGAGAGGCAATTGATAGCCGAGCACAACTGACCAAACTTTGCAATCCAGAAAGAATATCCTGGGGTGGGGGTGGTGGGAGACTACAAAAATTCAGACTAGTATTTTCCCTTAAGAATGAGCTTCAAACACAAGATCTTCAAGGTCAAGATCAAGAGCCTCTTCTCCATGTCCTCATCATGGAGTACTCTGCTGTGATTGAGCACCAACTCTTGTTCCTATGGGTTTCACTAGGTTTATGGGTCACAGAGGGAAAGTTCCCTTCAAGGTACAGAGACCATTACTCACCAGGGCAAATGAAGAGCTCAGAATGGGAAGACCATGGCAAGGTGTGGAGAAGGCTGTGGCCAGGCCCTTGGGCTAAGTCCACTTGCAGATCTGCTCATGGCATCAGCAACAATGCCTCTGGGGAAGGTGTTGGCCCCCAGCAAACAGGAGGCTTGGAGGCTGCCTCAGAACATCCCACTCAGCCAAGGACTCAAGGCCTGGCCAGAGCCCTGCCATGGTAGGCACAGACCACATTGTACCTGCCTCAAAACATCTTTCCTGTATATATTGTCCAATAGATACTATACTTTCTTGAGGTTCTCCATGGCACCGTCGAATCCAGACAGCTCCAAACCTGAAGGTACATGAATGACAGAGTTCAATTAGGCCCTCCCAAAGTACCCTTGAATTGGAATCTATGAGGACGGGTCCATGCACCTGCATTTTAATATTCCTCCGTGTGACTGCTGTGCTGAGAGGCTGATAATAGCCAAGCACTTCTGTTTCACTCTAATGATATTTCTGCAGTAAAATTACAGCCATTGTTGGACAAAACTGCATCAATAGGAGGAAAAGAAAAGTGGAGAGGGGATAGTTTTGCCTTGTACCTAAACATACAAGATCACATCTAGGCTGTTGAGTCCATTTTCAGACAATGTGTCAACTTATAATATTTTAAGATGGGCACTGCCTGATTGTAGAACATCCCGACAAGGATTGCGGCAACATAAGGGTGAAGAGTGGTTAAAATAATCAGGGCATTTCATGGCACAGAAGAGAAATTGTAATGGGGACAGAATATTGATCTTGGAATGTATAAAAGCCCATTAATGAGAAGAGAGAGGGCAAATTCTGTTTTGCCACAGAAGGACCCAATCCACTCTGATGGAGTGCAATGCATGCAGGATGAATCACGAATGCAAGATGTTTCGAGGTAAACAGAGCTTTCTTCCTAACAATTGCACTTCCACAGCCATGGGACTTACTTCTGGAACAGCCATGCATTTCCCAGCAGCAAGAGAATCCTAGGAGAGCCTGGGCCAAGGAAGCTGTGCTGGGATTCACAGGGTGTTTGGATGGTCTGTAACACCTCAGCCAACTCTGAAGGCTGAGGATCGCAGACAAAGTAGACACTCAGTACCTGCACCTTGGATTAAATCATTTGACTGGTCTCATGCTTGCTATGACTTGATTAGAAATATGTAAGGCATAAAAATACAGAACAAAATTTTAGACACAGCCTCAGTAACAAATGTATTTCTCATCAATAAGTTCCACCAATGGATCAAAAGTAAGACTTGGAGCCAAGATGTGGAAACAACAGAAACATCAATAGATGGATGAGTGGATGAATAAAATGTGCAGTATATATCTACATAGACACACACAATGGTCTATTACTTAGAATTAAAAAAAAAAAAAGAATGAAATTCTGACACATCCTACAGCACGGGAGAACCTTGAGGACATTATACTAGGTGAAATAAGCCAGGCACAAAAGTGCCAATACTATATGATCCCACAGTATGTGAGGTATATGAGATCCCTAGAGTAGTCAAAGTCATAGAGACAGAAAGCAGAATGGCAGTTGCCAGGCACCGAGGGGAAAGGAGCATAGGAAGTTGGCATTTCATAGGAACACAGATTCTATTGGGGCTGAGAAAAAAGTTCTGGAGCTGGATGGTGGTGTTGCTTGCACAACATTGTGAATGTGCTCAATGCCACTCAACTGTACACTGAAGTGGGACAGCACAGAGCGAGAAGAGCCCAATATGCTTCTTTTGAGTTTAGAGTGGAGAGAAGATGGCATCTTCTGGGGAGAAGGAAAGAGGGATGCAGAGACCCCGAGGACAGCTGTGGACAATAATCAGAGGTTGGTGACAGGAGGTACCATTTACCCCAGATTTCCGGATAGGTGTGCATGTCAGTCTGGCAGTTACTTGTGTTTTCCTCCAAACTTGTTGCCAGGTTGGAAGGACCGATGACATCAGAGGCTTCCGACCTTCCTGATTGGAAGGACCCGACTCCATGGGTGCCTGGCAGCCCAGTGGACAACAGTATCTTCTCAGGGCTGGTCTCCACGCCTCTCTTCTCCCCAGCTTGGAGAAGAGATAACAGGCTTGGTGTCAACCAGAAGTCAGAAGAAGGCTTTGGCCAGAACCAGGTCTGGGTTCTGAAGAAGGGAAGAAAGAGTTTGGGAGAAACCATGGCCATTTATCAACCAGACTCTTGGTCTGAGGACCACAGCCCCCAGCCCAGCATGTCAGGCTACTACCCCCTGGAGGTGGTGAGGGATGATGAACACCCGGGACCATCAGGTGAGGGGCCTGATAGGAAAAGGGATTTGGGAAGATTGGCTAGTCAAGAGGAAGGGCACTGAAGTCAGGAAGATGTGTGGGAAAGAAAGGAAGGCTTCAGAAAGCCAGGATTGGAGACAGAGAGCACAGGATGTGGGACAAGGACATCCACACGGAAGGAAAAGCTGGGGGGCAAGGCAGTGGGTCTGGGAGGTGAGTCTGAGACAAGGGAAGAGGGACTCAAGGGAAGCCTTCCTTTTCTTCCCCAATGGAAGTAATTCTCTACAATGAGGAAGAGTTTGAGGACAGAAAGATGCAATAGTGGCCAGGCTGAGGCGGGGTGGATGGATGTCAACAAAGGAGAGAGATGAAGAGATGGCTTGGAGAAGGCCTCAGTCTGTGGAGCTGGAGAGGGTGGAAGACAGGTCTAGTTTGGGGGACAGGGGGTGGTTAGGCTTTCAGTGGCTGAATTCCAAAGACAGAGCTTCACACTGTAGCCTGGTTTCTTTACTCAGCCCCTCGGGAAGATCCCAGCCCCCTGTCTCGGTCTCCTGGCCAGAAAAGGAAGAGGGAGTGTTCAACCGATTCCGAGAATGAGGAGTTGGAGGAGGAGCTGGTGGGCCCTGAGCCTAAGGACATCTGGGTCGTGGAGTCGCTGCGTGGGCTCAAGACGAGACTGAAGAAGCAGCGAGTGTCCTCAGTGCTTCCCGAGCACCATCGGGTCTTCACCAGGCTGCTTGGTAGGAGGAGAGCCCAGATAGCAACCTCCAATCCTATCCTTTTGAAAAAGGAAGAAACTTCTAATCACTACACTTCTCTAGTGAAAAAGATGCCCTGTTAGTGGGCAAGCTGCTCCTCCCTGGAGGACGCAGGACGTGTCACTCAGCAGGGACCCTCAGAAGGTGGTGGAGGATTAGGCTAGACTTGAAAAAGCTTTGCCCTTGGGATAAGAAAGCTGCACCCTCTGAAACGTACTAGCTCTTGCTGACTTTGGGGGAATCTAAGTGTCAGCATCTGTAGAAGGGGAACACAAGGCTGTGTTTGTGCCCTGACGTGACTATCCAGTGGGCAACGGCCCGAGTCACTCCGTGACTTCTGGAGTGGTACACTCGTGTCTGATGAGGGGCATCCAGGATCTTCCTCGTGCACCTATGCCACTGACACCCAGCCCCTCCCTTGGTCACTCCTCAAGGGAATCTCAGGGTAGGAGCTGCTGTCCCTTGCCCAGCGAATGTTTTCTCTCCTCTCTCCACTCACCTAACCCTCGGCCACAATCCAGAACCTTCTCCAAATGAGGCACGGTTCTCCTCTTTGCTCAGAGTTGCTCCCACCACAGCAACTCTGTCCCACTTCTCAACCTAACGCATGCTCTCTTTTCACAGAGGATCCTGTCATTAGAAACTTCCTGGCCTGGGACAAAAATCTGAGGGTATCTGACAAAGTAAGGTGGTTCTGCTCCAACATAGAGCCTGGGGGAGGGCGGGGCTTTCTAACCCACAGTTCCACTTGTCTCTCCCTCTGCGTCTCTCCCACCGGATGCTCCCACAGTCCTGAGCCTTGTAGGACTTGTCAGCATCTCCCTTCCCGGCCTGGAGATCTCCTGAAGAGTGAACTCGTGGCCCTGCTCAGGCGGGGTCCTTTGGCATCTGAGCCCTCGGCATAGTCTTGTCATGGGCGTTGCCTCATCGGTTATCGCCAGTCTGAGCTCCTGGCCCCTCTCCTCTCACCTCTCTGTGACTGTCCTCTGCCGCAGCTCACCAAAGGCCCTCCTGACACCAGCCGTGCAAAACACCTTCCCAGAGATCCTGGCAGAGCTCGCCATCCTGGGAGCACCGTGGACCTCGCTTCCTCTGACCTCTCTGATTTGTAACCGACATTCAAACATATCCTTCCCCACCCCACCCCAATGAGCAGTCATCGAACACTGGGGTCTCTTCTCTGAGCAGCAACCCCTGGCCCCACCTCCCATGCCCTTGTCCCCATGTTCTTCCTCTTCCACAGGGGACCCCTCTCTTACTGCTTTAACTCTCTCCCCATCAGTATCTCCTCGCCATGGTCATAGCCTACTTTAGCCGGGCTGGCCTCTTCTCCTGGCAATACCGACGCATTCATTTCTTCATAGCGCTGTGAGTACTTTGCCTTGTCCCATCAATCAATATTCATGACCCTGCGAGGGGGATAGGCTGGACTCTAACCTCTCATCTACTTTTAACCTTTCTGTACTGTTTATTATGTGTATAAAAATGATGGGATTATACTGAGTGCTCTTCCACTGTTCTTTGTAAAAACAAAATACCCAAATGTCACTTTAAAAAACTAAACAAAATGAAAGGAAACATAAACTCCTCCTATGAGGAGAGAAAAATAAAACTGACACAACCCTGCCCTCCAAGCAAACATCTGTTTCTGCTTCCTCTGTCCCTGTCCTGCCAGTGTCAACACCAAATGTGAGTGTCCATCTTCCTCCTCTGGATTCCCGTGACAGAGGCCACAACTCAGGCCCCCTTCACAACACAGAGACTTTGCAAAATGCTCCCCGCTGGTGTTTCTCACAAGCCTCTCTCCCGGAGCCAATGGGCTTTGTATGTGTTGCCTGCACATCCCTCCAAAACACACGCCTAACCCCCCATGGCCTCCTTAACCCATCAGCTAACGACTATCTCCATCAAGGCCGAGGTTCTCAGTTTGAATTCAACCCTTTCGACAATCTCGCCACAGCCAAACCTGCTCACCATCTCTGTATTTCACTACTGTGTTTCCTGCTCCTTCCAAATGCCCTTCCCTCT